CATGCTGCCGTTCACGCTCGCTCCTTTCATCCTCACAATAATAGTCGTGTACATCTCGTACATGTAAGCGATTGTCGTGCACGCAGCGTACATGTCGGCGGAGCGTGATTGTTTTCGCCGTTGAGGTTGCTGCATTGACCGGTAGGCAGCTCAACATGCGTTTCAGATTGTCGTACGCTCTTGGATGTGCTCGCTGCTTCTAGTGAACATGCCATCGCGTGTCATTCATGGCTCACGATCCATGCCGCGTGATCCATGATGCATGATCCGTGACCCATGACCCACGACCCATGACGCTGACCCATGATCCATGATTCATGACCCATGACCCATGATCCATTACCCATGACCCATGATCCATTACCCATGATCCATTACCCATGACCCATGATCCATTACCCATGACCCATGACCCATGACCCATGTTCCATTACCCATGAACCATGATCCGTGACCCATGATCCATAGCGCATATCAGTAATCAAACATGACATTTTTCCAGCACCCTGACCCCTGCCTCCCGCTGTGGCCATAACTTAAGGTTTATTTCTGTCCGGCTTGACTTCCTATGACCATGTGCGCCATCAGGTTGCTGGGGTGGCTGGGACCGCTCATCTCCTTCCTCGTGCTCTTCTACCTCACCGTCTGCCGGATGCATTACGACCCCAACACGCGCCGCAAGTACCAGGTGCGTCCACAAGTATAACGGGATGTCTCGTCCCTGCTCCCTGCTCCCTGCTCACTCCTCCGTATTCCTTACCTGCCCGTTTCTATGGCTCTCCAACCCGTCCTCCCCCATCTCCGCTCGTTCTCACCGTGTTATGCCCCCCCAGGAGCTGTACCTGAAGATGGCGCGGTACATGGTATCAGTGCGCATGGTGACGCCCAGGGACCCCATCCTGGCCGCACTCTCCCCAACACCCTCTCTTCCTTTCTCCCCACCTCCCCTCATTCTCACCCTCTACACCTCCAGGAGCTGTACCTGAAGATGGCGCGGAACATGGTATCAGTGCGCATGGTGACGCCCAGAAACCCCGTCCTCAACACACTACCTTCCATTCTCCCGTCTCTGCTCATTCTCACCCTCTTACGCCCTCAGGAACTGTACCTGAAGATGGCGCGGTATATGGTATCAGTGCGCATGGTCACGCCCAGGGACCCCATCCCCGACGGGCCGTACATCTTCGCATTCCACCCGCACGGCCGCATGTTCTACTCCACCTCGCTCATCATCCAGTCCCACGAGCTGTGGCGGAAGCACTTCTGCCCCAAAGGTGCGCTCTTGGCTGCTGGGCTGCCCTGGACGCTTCTGAGCTGCTCTGTGCGCTGCTGTGCTGCCCTGTGTGGTGTTGTGAGGTGCTGTGCAGTGCGGTGTGGTCTTGTTCTGTGCTGTACTGTCCTGTGCTGTGTGGTGTCGTCTCGTGTTGTACTTTATGCTGCAAACGTGCTATGCCGAATGCTGCATATGAGCCTCAACCCCTCACCTCTCGCCTCGTCGCACACCCCTCTCCCCGCATGCGCCTCTCACCTGCTCCCACCTCCCCCAGGTGATTTCTTCGGGTGAGCAGCAGGGGCGTTCTTCGTGGTGCCCATTGTGCGCAACATTCTCAACAACCACTCACTCCTGCCCTCGCACAAGCCTTCTATCACATACGCCTCCCACCTGCTCCCACCTCCCCCAGGCGACTTCTTCGGGTCAGCAGCGGGGGCGTTCTTTGTGGTGCCCATTGTGCGCAACATTCTCAACAACCTGGGGCTCGTGTCCGTGGATAAGCCTGCCATCGTGCGCACGCTCCGGAACAAGAACCATGTGAGTGTCTGGTTGGGGTGAGAGGGAGCATGGGAGTGCTTGCAAGCGACATCATGGGATCTCGTGTCCTTGGACATACATGCCATTGTGCGCACTCTCACGAACAAGAACCACGTGAGTGTTTGCCTGAGAGAGGTGAGAGGGAGCATGTGAATGTTGCCTGAGAGAGGTGAGAGGGAGCATGTGAATGTTGCCTGAGAGAGGTGAGAGGGAGCATGTGAATGTTGCCTGAGAGGGACCATGTGAGAGCTTGCAAGCAACCCCTTGAACGTTCTGGGGCTTGTGTTTGTGGACAAGCATGCTATCGTGCGCACGCTCCGGAACAAGAACCACGTGAGTGCTCGCATGAGAGAGAAGCATGGGTGTGGTGAGAGGGAGCATGGGAATGTGGCGACTGAGCATGGGAGCGGGGCGAAGGAGAGTGGAAGTCAGGTGACGGAGTACGGGAGTGGTGAGAAGGGGCATGGGAGTGGTCAGAAGGGTCGTGTGAGTGGTTACAAGGGGCATGGGAGTTAGGAAAAGGAGAATGGTTGTGGTGCAAGGAGCGTGGGAGTGGTGAGAAAGAGCGTGGGAGTCGTGAGAAAGATCGTTGGAGTGGTGAGAAGGGGCACGGGGAGGGGTGAGAAGGAGCATGGGAGTGGGGCGAGGGGGTGAAGGAGAATGTGAGTACGGAGAAGCATGGGACTGCTTGCAAGTAAGCAAGCACATGGGGAAGAAGCATGTTGGGGAAGTCTCACAAGTATGTGTTGTTCTGTGCTGTGCTGTGCTGTGCTGGGCAGGTGACAATAACAATCGGCGGGGTGAAAGAGATATGCCTGGGCACCAGCCCCGATTACGACACGCTCTACCTCATGAAACGGTGAGGCAAAGGGGTGGTGGGGGGTGGTTTGCGGTGGGAGGGGGCGAGTTTGCCCGGGCAGGATTGGACGTTTGTGGATTGCCTCATCCTCTTTCCCTAATCAGCCCTGATTGCAACAAGGTCTACCTTGTGAAGTGAGAGACAGGGGGGGTGGTGAGGACGCAGGGGCTTGGTAGTGAGCAAGGGAACAAGGGGGGCAGCGGGCGGGAAAAGGGGGGGAAACGGGTTCTTGGGAAGCGATATGGCATGACTTGTGGTCAAGCTAACGGGGGGTGATGCTGGTTGGAAAGGGGTTACGCATGCAGTGTTGGCACGTGCTATGGCCAGCTGGGCCTTCTATACCATTCATGCCTGTCGTGTGGCTCATTTGTTGTTGCTCTCTCATGGCCTTCTCTCCCCATCTCTTGCTCGTTCTCTCTTTCTCTCAACGCAGAAAGGGGTTCATTAAAGTGGCGATGGATGAGAAGGTGGGCATTGTGCCCATCTACAACTTCAATGAGAACCAGGTGCGCATGCTGTGCCACGTGTGCTGTGTGACACCATGGTGTTATGATATGTGGTGATCTCATATGCTTTGTTGTGTGCCCATCTACAACTTCAGTGAGAACCAGGTGCATGGGTTGAGCAGCACTGTATGCTGCAATGTTGGTGAATGATATGTGTGATGCTATATGTGCAGTAAGAATCAGGTGGGCTTGTGTACGGTGCGATGCCCTGTGTACTATGTGCTATATGCCATATGCCATGAGCAGTGAGCCATGTGGAATGTGCCATGTGGAATGTGCCATGTGGAATGTGTCATGTGGAATGTGCCATGTGGAATGTGTCATGTGGAATGTGCCATGTGAATGTGTCATGTGGAATGTGCCATGTGCTTATTCCACTCGCTCTCCTGCCCACTCTTTCTCTCCTTCAACCCCTTCCCATCCCACCATTCCAATCGTTCCCCACTCCAAACCCCCTCTCCCCATTGTTTCCCCCCACAGATCTTCCGGCCAGAGCCGCACTGGTTCCTGGCGTTCTGGGAGTCGGTGAACAATTACGTGGGCCTGGGCGTGCCAGGCATGAGAGGCTACCTGCAGATGCCCATGCCCTTCCGCAAGTGAGTGTTGCTGTGCGAGGTGCAGTGCGGTGCAGTGCGGTGTGTGAGTGTTGCATGCTATTTGAAGGCACTCAAGCCGCTCTCCCACACCCACGTCCCCATCACTTTCCTTAGCCAGCTCCGCCGATTCACTCCCTGCATCGTCACCTCATCTCAGCTCTCTTCTCCCTATCTTAACTGCTCTTCCCTCATACGCACACCCTCAGGGAGCTGCTCTTCGTGGTGGGCAAGCCATTGTTCACAAAGGATGGGGAGGCGGTGGACGAGTTTCATGCACGCTACATGGACGCACTCAAGCAGCTCTTCGACACCTACGTCCCCATCCCTTTCCGTGTTTGACTCAAAACGCTCCCTCCCTGCACTGTCCGCTCTGCTCCTTTGTGCCTACCCTGCCAATGCAGGGAGCTGCTTTTCGTGGTGGGCAAGCCGTTGTTTGCAAAAGAAGGAGAAACAGTGGACGACTTCCATGCGCGCTACGTGGAGGCTCTCAAGCAGCTCTTCGACACCTACGTCCCCATCTCGCCCCACCCCTCACACAAACTCGTCATCACATAGCCGTGCGCCCTGCCTCAGAGCGTCTCAACACCCACACCACTGTCCCAGCCCTACCATTTTCATACAGCATCACTTCGGACCTTCCATCATAAAGTCCCCCCTGCTTACATAGTGGTGTAGAACTCATGAGTTGTGCTCTAGGTAGTTTTACTCTAGCCTTTGCCAAGTAGTGATGCTAGTGTTACGGAAGTGTGGCGTAGCTCATCCCTGCTTGAATACTCGCGCAGCAGCAACTGCAGTATCCAGTCAGTGCGGCTGTCAGAGTCAGCTGCGTTAGCTCTGCGCTCTAGCTCCTCCTTTTGAGCAGTGGTGGTGCTAGCTACGAGCTAGAGAGGTTACATTACATACATGTGTATGTGTTGGCCACAGGCAACATTGGATACATCGTGGATGGAGCTTGGATTGCATGTTACTGTAGCGGACTGTATCTGTCTACCTGCCTCTGGTTCACTGGATGGACGCCTCTGCAAGAGGAGAATAAGTTCCGGTATTACACAAATGGCATCACATCGTGCACGTACAATGACTGCGCATGCCAGGCAAACGGCATTGCCCTAGCGTTGACAGCCCACCTGGGTCAGAAGGAGAAGCAGCTGGTAGAAGTAGGGAAGAAAACGGTACCAGCACACGTTGGGGCATGAGGCCTTGAAACAGCACGGCTTGGTGCATCAGCATCAGGGCTTGGGGCGCCAGAAGAAGCCAAAGAGGCAGTGGGTGAGGTAGAGGGGGAAGAGCGTGGCCAGGGCGAGCTCACATGCCATGAACCCCGCTGTCATGCCCGTGAAGTCCCCCCTCATGGCCTCCTCTCCGTACCTGCAGGGTGAGGGGAGAGTGGGAGAGGAGGGATACGGGGAGTGTTGGGCATCAGAGTTGGGCGTCAGGGCTTAGGGCGATGAATAAGCCGAAAAAGCAGTGGGTGGGATAAATTGGGCAGAGCGTGGCTAGGGCGAATTTACATGCCATGAACCCCGCTGTCATGCCCGTGAAGTCCCCCCTCATTGCGTCCCTTCCGTACCTTGAGGGATGAGGGGAGAGGGGATTGATAGAGGGGAGAGGAAAATGAAGGGGTTTTTGAGGCGCCTCAGAAACCGAATTCCACCCATGGTCACCCTGTTGTACCTGGGTTTGTGTGGGAGGAAGCAGCACGTGGAAGGAGTCGAGGGGAAAGGCAGGAGGTGGGGAGTTGGAAGGGGAACTGTAACGTTTCCACGAGCTGGGGGTAATGCAACAGTTAGACCACCTCATCAGTGGGTATTGCAGGAGTTACCTCACCTCATCAGCGGGTATTGCAGCAACACGGCGAATGCCACAATGAAGCGAGTGAGCCGGCCAAAGCCGAAGAGGTGAGTTGTCACAGCCCGAGGGGGCACTGCAGTAAGCACCTCACCTCATAAGGGGGTACTGCAGCAGAGCGGCGAATGCCCCAATGAACCGTGTGAGGCCGTAGAGGCGGCCAAAGTTGCGGAAGCCAAAGAGGGAAGCGATGAGCGCCGCCATGGTGCTGTAGATGAACGCCCTCGCCACGCTGTATGCCGCGAAACTCAGGAGCTGATGGCCGTGGGGGTGGGCGGAGAGATGGCGTGAGAGAGAGGGAAACCAACGAGCAAGGCGATGGCGCCGCCATGGTGCTGTAGATGAATGCTCTGGCGACACTGTAGGCCACGAAACTCAGGAGCTGGGAATGATGGGAAAGGAGCAGGGAGGGGGGCAACAGGAGAGAGAAAAAACGACGGGAGATGAGCGATGAGTGGTGCCATGGTGCTGTAGATGCACGCCCTGGCGATGCTGTAGGGTGCGACACTCAGGAGCTGCGAGTGAAGGTTGGGAAAGGTTGTGCAGGTGGGCAGAGAGATGGGATGAGGGAGAGGTAGTCCAAGGAGCAAGGCGATGAGTGGTGCCATGGTGCTCTAGATGCACGCCCTGGTGATGCTGTGGCCGCAAAGCTCAAGAGCTGTGACAGACGGAGGAAAGAATCATTAAGGGCGTATCCAGGTTCGGGTCATGGGCACTGTTCCAGGCATCCGCAATTTGCGGATGACCCAAACAACATAAAACGCCACTTTGGGTCCTCCGAACTCTTGCGACTCCCAAAGAGCCGCGAAGGTTTTAGCGCCAAAATCAGGCTCCCCACAACAGTCGCATCCAATGGAGGGATGCCAGAACAGTTCAAACATCCTTAGCAAGACCCACGCGAAACCACGCGAAACCCACCGAAAAAACACAATCGTCTAAATTCCCGGCGTGAATCCCCAAATGCTGGGAGGGCGACGCGGGAAATTTTTGACCCACTAATGGTCACTGGGGTCAATTTGCCGAGTGGTTGGGTGCAGAGGGGTAAGACGTGGGACATTGCCCACGTGTGACACTCGACTGACGACCGCCAAAAAATGGCAGTAAATCCAGAATCGTGCAACCAGGTGATTGGTTGGGGGTGGGTCGTGCACGTCAGTCGCCCAACACCTGCACATTGACCCAAAGCTGGGGCCGCGCGCGGCTCGGCAGCCCACTTCGGGTCATGCGCAAATTCCGCATGACCCAAACAGTAGAATGAACAGTGCTCATGACCGGAGCCAAAGATACGCCCTAATAGACACCATGGCATCATGGCATGAAGGAATCAACAGCATGGCATCAGCACGAATCAACACCATCAGTAGGACAACAGCACGCCAGCCATGGCGGCATGGCATGGCATCATGGCACTAGTGGGCGGCATACCATGGCATCTAGTGGAAGGATGGGGGCGAGGAGCAGCAGCAGGGAGGAGAGGAGCGACAGGGCGGCAGTGATGGCGAAGGCGGGCGGCAGGCCGAGGGAGTCGATGCTCCAGCCGGCCAGAGGCACGCTGAGACAGCCGCCCAGCGGGAGCAGGCAGTTGAAGGCGTCGATGTAGTGCTGCACTGCTGCTGCTGTGGATGGCGGGTGGATGGCCTTGGCGTGCTGCAAGGGAGAGCGGAGAATCGGGGAAAAGTAGGGACATAGGGATACGCAGGCAGCAGGCAGTTGAAGGCATCAATGTAGCTCTGTTGCACTGCTGCTGCTGTGGGTGGCGGATGGATGGCCTTGGCGTGCTGCAAGGAGAGAGGGCAGAAAGAGGGGGGGTGCAGCGAGAATCGACAGTTGAAGGCACTGATGAACCTTGGCGTGGTGATGGCGACACATGATTTGGTAGCTTTCTGGTGACCGTGCAAGTGTAAGGATGCGCCAAACACTCGTTTCACTCACCACGGCGAAGGTGATCTGGTCGTTGACAGCCGCGATGTACACATTGGAGCGCAGCACATAGAACGCCGCCACCCCCACGTGCACCCAGAACAGCGGCGACCTGCCGTTTGAAGTGGGTTTGGGGTGGGAATGGGGGTGGGTGTGGGGGTGGGGGTGGGGGTGGGGGTGGGGTGTACTGATGAAGGCGAAGCCACAAAGAAGGCCGCCACCCGCACATGCACCCAGAACAGCGCGACCTGCCGATGGATTGGGGGTGGGGGTGTACTGCTCAATTCAAAGCCACACAAGGAAGACTGCCACGAGCATACGCACTCAGAGCAGCGACGACCTGCCATTTGTTGCAGTGGAAGGGGGAGGAGTGGGAGTGGGAGCACGGGTGTACCGGCGAAGGCAAAGACAGAGAGAGGAGGGCCGACATGAGCATGTGAGGTCAGAGCTGGCTTCCCTGCGGCTTGCTGCAGTGGAGGGTGGGCGAGTTGCAGCTTGTGGAGAAGCAGATGGAGGGGCACCTGAGCTGGGTGCTGGGTAGAGTAACCACCCATGAGCATCTGGTGATTTCGGAAACCCAAGCGTGGGCACACACAGATGCCAAGGCACCTGAGCTGGACGACTTTTCAGACTTCTGAAAAGGCACCTGAGCTGGATGGCAATGTCGGCATTGTAGATGGCGGGAGGGGGCGGCAGGCACGGGGTGCTCCGGCCGTGGAGCCACACGATGGGCAGACTGGGAGACACCGGGATGCTGCTGCCCCGCCCTGTGACAGCTGGCAGCGCCACGTGGCATGCTGACGTGGTCAGCTCGTCAGCAGCAGCAACACTGCTCGCACCACCGGCATCCCCAGCAGAAGCCTTATCACTCCCAGAAGCCCCCATGAGGCGCAGCAGGTATAGCCGCTCCAACTCCCCACTGCGCCTCGGCCCCCGCGCTCCCTCACTTCGCCCTCCACTACGCCCTCCCTCCTCGTCCCCTCGCCTCACTTCGATCAGCCCTGCTGCCGCCCCCTCTCTCACCCCCCTCATTCCCTCCTCCTCCCCGCGTGCGTCGTCATGTCCCCCCCCACTCCTTCCCACAGCGGGCCTCGCTTGCCCCCTCTCCCCCTCATCCTCGTCTGACTGGCCCTGCGATGACTGCTCCTTGCTTCCCTGCGACTTGCTTGAATGCTCCTCGCTTGCAGGTTGCAGGAGAGGCGCGGTGAGCAATGAGAGCGAGTCGGGATGGGGTGGCGTGGAGGAGGGGGGGGTGGAGGTGGATGGAGGAGTGGCGTGCGACTCTGAAGCGGGTGAGGCACCAAAGGGACTGCAGAGGCGAGGGCAGGGTGAGGGGGAAAGGGGGAAGGAGGGGGGGCGACGTAGAGAGAGATGGGAAATGGCGGGAGTGCGATGTGGATGGACGGTGATCCTGGGCAGGGCCTCAAGGGTAGGGAGGGAGTGGGCATAGACGGATGGTGAAGAGCCTCGGATGTGATGTCACAGGGTGAGGTGACAGCAAGAAGCAGCAAGGGGGATGAGAAAGAGCACAGCGAAGGACACACACACAACTACCCCCCCCTCTAACCCATCTCGCACACACAACCACACTACTCTCCTCCCCCCCCCTTCTAACCCATCTCGCACAAACAACCACACTACTCTCCTCCCCCCCCCTCTAACCCATCTCGCACAAACAACCACACTACTCTCCTCCCCCCCCCCCTCTAACCCATCTCGCACACACAACCACACTACTCTCCTCCCCCCCCCCCTCTAACCCATCTCGCACACACAACCACACTACTCTCCTCCCCCCCCCCTCTAACCCATCTCGCACAAACAACCACACTAGTCTCCTCCCCCCCCCCTCTATCCCATCTCGCACAAAAAACTACTCTCCTCCCCCCCCCCTCTAACCCATCTCGCACAAACAACCACACTACTCTCCTCCCCCCCCCCCTCTAAACCATCTCGCACACACAACCACACTACTCTCCTCCCCCCCCCCCTCTAACACATCTCGCACAAACAACCACACTACTCTCCTCCCCCCCCCCTCTAACCCATCTCGCACACACAACCACACTACTCCTCCCCCCCCCCCTCTAACCCATCTCGCACACACAACCACACTACTCCTCCCCCCCCCCCCACTTCAGACCCGACTCGTCGCACACATCGGGGAACGTGGTGGCGGCGACGACAGCTATAGCAAGCGGCACGGCGAGATAGGCGAGGCAGACGGAGGAGAGGGCGAGGTGAAGGCGCGAGACGGCGAGGGCGAAGAGGAAGAGCACGGCTGCAGAGGCATCAAAGGCGCCGCTCTGTGCTGCTATGACCGCTGCTGCTGATGATGGGAGGACCTCAGAGAAGTTGATCTGGTGGGTGAGGGCGGGGAGGGAGAGAATTGGGAGTTGGGAGAATGAATTGGGAGAATGGTTGGACTGGTGGGTGCCAAGGACGCGAGATGCTTGGAATGTGAAGCTGCGTGTGGATGGGGAGGCAGTTTGGCGGGAGGGAAGCTCACTGTGGAGAATCAAGGTTGGACAGCAGGACAATGGGGGTAACGGAGCAACATAGCAGGTAGGCGCATCCACAGCAGGCGCAGCAGCAACGGCAGTACACTGCGAAACACTGGCCGTACCATGGGCGTGACGATGAAGGGCCCTCCGAGCGCCAGCAGAAAGAAAGCTGCAAAGAAGCACACCCCGGCAACTCCGACGCCCTTCTTCGCCCCTCTTAACCCCCCTGCCACCCATCCCAACACTTCTGTCATCCCTCTTATCCCCTCTCCCCCCCTCCTAGCACCCTCGCCCCGGGCGGCCATGCCACCCCCATCCCATGCACTGTCCCTGTCCCCTGGGGCCCCCTCCAAATGGCGCCCTGTTAATGGCTGGGAGAGATTGTCTGACTGCTCGAAACGATGGGGGCAATAGTGCAGCGGCCACGGCGGGGGGAGAGGGCGAAGCAGGAGGGGGGACTGGGTGTGGTGGGACTCATAGGCAGGGAAGGCGGGAGGCATGGCGAGCAGGGAGGCGGAGGGGGAAGGCACGGGCAGGGCAGGGGGAGGGGCGGGAGGGGGCGGCTGGGAGAAGGCGGATCCGAGGGCGAGGGCGAGGAGGCCCGCGGAGAAGACGAGAGAGCCCGTGATGGCTGTGGTGCGCGGTCCGTAGGCGTCTAGGAATGCCCCCACTGGCAGTACACACGCGCTGTTGGTCACCATGCCTGGTGGGGCGACCGGGATGGGCGCACATAGATGCACGGGTGGTGAAGGATACGAGGAGGTCAGCACATTGGCACATGAACACATGCAAATGCAGGGGACATAAGGCAGAGAGCAGATGGGACAGAAGGGAAGCGATGATGGCTGTGGTGCGCGGGCCGTAGGCGTTGAGGAACGCCCCCACTGGCAGCACACACGCGCTGTTGGTCACCATGCCTGGTGGGATGACACGTGTGTGTGCAATGACTAGACACGCAGGACAGCACATGAGAGCGTGAACTCATTACACAATGCACACATGCCAATGCAGGGTGCATAGGGGGCATAGGGGCTCAGCAGCAACAGAGTGCACATACACATGCCCCACCACCCTTCGTTACAGTCACGTACTGAGGGTGTAAGCGGCGTTGAGCAGGTTCATCTGGGCGGCGCACGGCACAGACTCCCCCGCCCCGCACGCGTCGCTGAACGCGCCCACGTCCGCCACCAGCACCGGCAGGATGCCGGAATACCCGTAGATGATGCCTGGCGCGGGGGGGGACGAGGGGGGAGGACGGGGAAAAGCGGTGAATTGGGGAAGCGACCACGCGGGGAAGCGGGGAGCGGGATTCAGACTATGCAGTCTTTTCCAGGGCTGGATATTCCGCACAGTCTCGCGCACCAGTGACGGCATCATCTCAGTACCGGCGGTGAGCAGCGAGGCGAGCACGGAGACGGAGACCAGCAGCACCCGCCTGCCGCGCGACAGCTGCGCCTCTTCTTCCGCTCGCCCTGCGCGCGACGCCATTTCCGCGTACGGATCGCTTCTGATTACACGCCGCCACGCGCGCGCTCCTGGTTATCAACCCACAGCGTGCGAATGCGAAGACGAGAATGGCGGGTAACAAGTCAGCCTGGCGAACATCTCGCGAATGTTGATCGGCGTGCACCTGGGCGCCAAAGGCCAATCAATTGTGGCGGGGTTGCGGCGGGGTAGCGACGGGAAACGTGGAAACGAATCCGGGTGAGTCTAGTTTCGAGATTCGAGCAACGCGGAGAGCGGGAAAGGCAATTGCGAAAATGGGTGCGTGGGCAATCGCCTCGCGACCATCTGAGGAGGGGCGTGATGAGCTGCGTGGCACGGTTTATGAGCGCCACTTGGCGGGCCCTGGGATTGGTGTCTGGGAATCCCAAGGGCGCTCCGTGTCTCGCTATTGATTAGTTTTCTCTAAACCAAAAGGGGATCCACCTTTATAAGCTTAAATATTATAAATGTGTTAGCTGCTATTTGAGGGCTCAGTCCCCTTTGCCCTACTTGTTCTTGGCAGTGGTCTCCAGAAATAACCGTACATAGCTACTGAGAGGTAATATGGAAACGTGGCTGTTAGTATCAACTCTATAGCGAGGAAGAGACCGTTCACCAGTACGAACTGAGCTCCCATGGATGACTCACAAGCACTGCACAGGCAAAAAAAAAATGAAATCAGTTGATGAAAAATCACGAAGATACTGCAGCAGTCGTTCTGACCTTTCCCGAATCAACATCCTCACAACTACTACTTACCTCATTAGAGGGTACTGTAACAATGTAAGGAATGCGCCTCCTAGCCGGTTGATCCCATACAGCCGGCCAAAGTTGCGGAAGCCAAAGAGAGTGCCGACATATGCCGCCATTGTGCTGTAGATGAATGCCCTGGCGATGGCGAAGGCAAGGAACGCCACCAGCTGCAGCATAGGCCGAAGGGGAGAAATGGAGGGTGAGTGGAGTGGGGAGGGGTGGTATGTGGTGGGGATAGGAGTCGGGCGACCAACAGCACAGGCTCACGAAGACAGAGGAAACAAGTGGAACAGAGGAATGTGAGGGTTCCGTTGTACAGCACACAGCAGTCGAGACCACATGGTAAGGCACAACGCCCCACCTGCATGGGAAGCGGGACCCAAGCGGCCATCATCTGAACAGCAGAGCAGAGCGCGCAGAGCAGCGTGGTGAGGACAAAGGAGAAGGGCAGCCCTGGGCGCTCCATGCTCCACCCCGCCAGCGGCACGGCCACCACCCCCCCCGCTGCCAGCACTATGTTGAATATGTCTATGTAGCGCGTGATTTGTGCGGCCGCATCGGATGGGAGGTCGGTGGTGGCGGTGGAGGGCGGGATGCTGAGGAGAGTCGTCTGATGGGCGTGGAGGGGGAGGGGTGGGGAGGGGTACATGGATAGGAGGTGCGTGATAGGGAGAGGTTTGGAAGAGAGATGGGGATGGCACATGGCACATAGCATGCAGCATGGCACATAACACATAGCACATAAGACATAGAACGTGACACCTGACACATAGCACGCACCACAGTGTAGCGAATGTGGGTGTTGACAGCAGCAATGAAGAAGTTGGAGCGCAGCACGATGTATGGTTGGCTTGCATGTGTGAGATTACAAGACGGCATGTGCCACAAAATGCTGCGAATATGTGGGTTGACAGGACAGCACGTAGCACATGGCACATAACAGATAGCACATGGCACGTACCACGGTGTAGCGGATGTGCGTGTTGACGGCAGCGATGAAGAAGTTGGAGCGCAGCACAAGGTATGCCGACACTGCCACGTCCACCCAGTACAGTGGCGACCTGGTGTCGTGCCGGGGAGGGGCGAGGGTCGAGGTTGCAATGAACTGTTGGTGAGAGAAAAGAGAAATCCGTAGGACAGGAGAGAGGATGTGTCAAAGAAACAAGTATTTTGTAGCAGCAGCAAGGAGAAGCCATGCGGCCATCTGTGCGCACGGCGCACCTGAGTTGGAGTTTGAGCGGGGAGTTGAAGATGTCAGGTGGAGGTGCAATACCTTCCGATTCTCCTTCCACTATTTCTGCCCCTGCTCCTGCCGTTTTTGTTGCTTCTTCTGCTGGTTTTGCTGCTGCTACTGCTGCGGCCTGTGCTAGCCGCAGAGAATACAGCCTCCCTAGCTCGCCCTTGTCCCACTGACTCCCCTCCTCCTCTCCCCTTCCCCCCTCTCCTCCCATTTCTCCCTCCCCCCCATCCTTCCCGCCGTTCTCCACGTCATCGTCACTCGACCCACTACTGTACACCATTGCTATCACGCTATCCTTCCTCTCCCTCCCCCCACTGCCTATCTCCCCTCCGCTATCACTGCTGCTGCTGCTACTACTACTCAAGCACTCCTCTATCCCCTCGTCTTCAGCTATAAAGTCACCTGCCACTCCTATCCCCCCTCCCTCCCCCCCCACAGGACGCTCCACCAATACCAATTGTCCCTCCCCTTCCCCCTCCGACTCTTCTTCTTTCCCGCCCGCCCCTACCTCCGCTCCGTCTCTTCCCCCATCCCCCCTGACACGCACTCTCGCTGCAGCAGCGTCCTCCAAACCCCCATCCGCGCGCGTATCCCCCCTCCCGGCACTTGCAGCAGCCTTTGCCGCGCCAAAGGGGGAGTTGGGGAAGGCAGCAGCAGCGAGAGCAGCAAGGGCGAGGGGAACGAGGCAGTAGGCGAGGGCGAGGGCGGAGAGGGGCAGGTGCAGGCGCGTGACGGCGAGGCCCAGCAGGAAGAGGATGAGCGATGATGCCTCGAATGCGCCCGACTGTGCACTGATGATGGCGGACGAGAGGCGCGGCACGAGCACACAGAAGTTGATCTGGAGAAGGGGGCGTGGGGAGGAGAGGGGAAGGAGGAAAGGAGGAGCTGGTGGAGGATGAGGACAAGGAAGATGCTATTGGGAAAGGGGGAAGGGGGGCTGGGGTGGTGGCGGAGCGAGGGCGAGATGAAGGGATGGGGAGAGGGAGAGGGACAGGTTGGTAGAGTCGGGGGCAGGGAGATTGGGAGGACGACGGAGAGGGCAAGGGGAGAGGTGAGGAGGGGGGGCACGCACGGAGGAGGTGAAGATGAATGGGCCGCCGAGGGAGAGCAGGAAGAATGCGGCAAAGAAGAACACCCCCGACGCCGCTTCCTTCCCCCCGCTGCTCCCCTCCGCCGTCCCCCCTGCTTCCCCCTGCCCCTCCGCCTCCAGCTTGCGCCGCTGCACGCCTTGGTCACCGCGCATCACTTGCTCCCCCGGACAACCTCCACTCCTGCGCCAGCAAGCATGTCCTTCAACCCACCCTGCCCTCTCCTCCCGTGCTGCCCCCCCTTTGCCCATCACCTTCACCATGCGAGCACCTTCTCTCGCCCCATGCGTCCCCCGCTTTCCCCCGGTCAGCTGCGCCCACGAACCCTCTGGTAGGGGCAGTTCCCCGTTCCGCCACGCTCCGTCGATGCGCATCAACCCCCGTGGGGGCTGCGTACTGACCGCCGCGGCAGCAACGCTCGTGTTCGCGGGTTCTGCCACGGCTGGCACTACCACAGTGGCACTCGCGGTACTGTTACTATCAGTACTATTAGTGACGCTGGGCGGCGTTGCGGCGTCAGGCGCGGCGTCATTGTGGGCCCCGGGCGCGAACGCGCCGGCGCCGGCGAGGGCGAGGAGGCCGAGAGCGAAGATGACAGTGCCAATGAGTGTGGTGCGGCGGGGTCCTGTGCGATCAAGCACGAGGCCCACCACAATGGCGCTCGCGCTGTTGGTGAACATGCCTGGTGGGGAGACGGGAGGCGGGGCGTGGGGGGAACGGGGGAGACGGGGGGCAGGTTGCGGGACAGGGAGGGAAGGGAAACCGGGTGTCCGCTGAAGGCGACAGTGATGGCGGCGAAATGGAGAACATGGAATCTGAATGGGGGAGTTTATACGGATTTGGAAGCGAGGCGGCACGCGCGGAGGCATTTCTTGCAGCGCCGCTTCCCTCTGAGTGTGTAGTCGCGCTGCACGGCACGGATTGAATTCAAAGTTGCCTTAAGGCGTGATGATAGTTAAGCGGTACGAACGCACTGAGGGTGTAGGCGGCGTTGAGCAAGCTCATCTGACGCGCGCACGGCACAGGCTCGCCTGCCGGACACGCGTCGCTAAAGGCGCCGACTGGACCCGTCAGCGCAGGGAGGAGGCCGGAATATCCGAACGTGACGCCTGGTGGGGCGGCGGCATGGGAGGAGAGAAAGACTACGATGAAATGCGTGGATGTCGATTCAACCAAGCGGACTGCGTTGGCATACTATCAGAGAGAACCAGAGGCGCCAATTTCAAAACCCGATACTACCAGCGAGACGGTAGGATAAAAACACGGGTGAGGCTAGTGCGTTGGACAAAAGATACTAAGTTGACGGTCGGACCTGCAGTGAAAAAGGCGGCGACGATGGAGGTAGTGACGAGCAGAACACGGCGACAGCGAGACAACGACTCTGGCCGACGCGCCATCACGTAGCAATGTCACCCAATTATTAGCTGAGACGGATTACTCTCGAAATTGGTATCTACGAGTCGTCTGTCCATCTATCTTGCTACTAATGCCGAGTCCTAGAATGCGCCTGAAGTCCCAGCCTTCCCTGAATTCCAACTTGAAGTCGGCGAATCCGTGCAGTTGGTCCTCCAGGATTGTTTCTGCGACAAATGCCATCACCCATCGCGTTGTCTGGGTTGATTTATGAAGACCGCGTCGCGCAGTGGTTGGGAATTCTTGGTTATTGGGGGCAGTGGGCAGGGGTCTTGATTCGTTTTGGGCCACCCTGTCAAATCAAAGTTTCAGGTCGAAGTCACACTGCCACTGCAGTGCTGCTGCCGCGTCGTACCCTAGAAATGGCAGGGTGCTGAAAAAAATCTGGTCTGGTATGGCAGGGTGAAATTTTGAACTAGGCTGCAGCGGTCCAATCTGTGTGAGTGTCTCCGTGGAAAGGACTTAGCAAGTTTTTTAGCACATCCGATGCTTGTTCGGGTGTATGTGTGACTGACTCTGTGGGAAAGACTTGGCCAGTTTTCAAGCACATCCGATGCTTGTTCTGGTGCATGTGTGAGTGTCTCTTGGCAAGGACTTAGCCAGTTCTCGAATGGCTGAGGGGGAAAAACTCAGTCAGAGTGCTACCACTACCGAACTCGGCCAAGGCAGTATGCTACAAGAGCCAACAAGTGCAAAACAAGGGAGAACATTTCACGAGGCCTGATCGTGACAGGGCGGTCAAACCCTTGAGACCTGTATTGACAGTGTGGTTCCGAAACACGACCCTGAAAAACAGGCTAATCAGGGCAAAATGCCCTGCAATCCTGAGGCCTGGCAGTGGGCCAACTGCTGAATTTTGGACCTTCAGTTTGTGTCGCTTTCGCGAAGCTGTGGATCTGGTTTGGTGTCCGCCTTCTCTTTGCTGGCTCTCACACTGCCCTAGCGCGCCAATGACAGAGCTGAGCTGAACCCGTAGAAACCAATCAAAAAGCTGGTTAGCTTGGCTCTTGCTGGTGGAAAGGCCAGCGCATAGGTCGTTCGGCAAAACTGGCATTGCGTGACTGTAGCCAGATGGCGTGAGGTTGTTGGTGACGTTGTGTAGTCACCGCACGCGCCAAACACGCAACAGATCACAGAATTACCCATCTGTTGGAAAATGTTTTTATAACCACAGTAAAAAAACACCACCAGCACAAACTAAATAGCTTGATGTACATTTACTGCTTGTCACTCAACACCATAACTGCTCACATCAACATCAGGAATATTTTAGTCGAAGGAGAGGAGAGCCGCACCACTTTTCAAGAGGCGGGCGCAGATGGCTTCATCTTCTTCCTCTCCCGTTTCTCCTTGCGCTTGAGGGAGTCCATATGCGCCTTGAGAACGAGCGCATACGCCGCCTGAAACTTGGCATGCTCCCGAGGTCCCAGCTGCAGCAGGACACATAGCGTCCACAGAGCACAAGACAAATGGCCCTAAAATCTCACGTGAAGTTGGCAAGTAGCTATTTATTTAAGCATGTTGAAACACACGACGAATGCACGATAATAAAGCATGGGCGGACCCGCACACTCACCAGGGTGCTGATCTTCCTTTTGCCATCGGTGGCCCTCACCACACACCGGTACTCCGCAGCGCTGCTCTCATCCTCCTCCACGTCATCCCCGCCTGCCTTCTCACCTCCCTTCGGCTTTTTGCGCAGGTTGGCTGCAGGGGATAGGGTCGACAGGAGCAGTGGAGGAACGGAAAAACCATGAAAAACAGGGGGGTTATGATAAGGAAGAAACGCACCACTGGCGAGCAGCGGCTCCCAGCGATCCATCTGCTAATTCCAGGAAGCATGTGTCACTTCCACTCACCATTTGTACACTTAACACCTCCACCCACACCTGTTAGACTGCACCCCCACACACAGCGCTTCAGCCCATCCCCACCAGCACCGGCACTCGCAGTGCCTGAGCCCCAACCTTACTGGCACTCACAGCGCTTGAGAGTGACCCACACGGTGCCGGCGCCCTTGTGGCGCTCGTACAGCTTGGTGAGCTCGTTCAGAAAGGGATCCGGCTCCAGCAGCATCTGCCCTCACGGTGAGTGGGGAGGGCAGAGGAAAAATGGTTGGGGCCGATGGCCAGGGAGTGGGCAATGGAGTTACGGGCGCAAGCAGAGAGCTTGATGAGCTCGTTCAGAAAGGGGTCCGGCTCCAGCAGCATCTGCCCTCACAGGGGGGGAGGGGATGGGGAGCAGCAGCTGGCGGGCTGTGGGATCAAGGGCACAAGGGACAGCTTGGTGAGCTCGTTCAGGAAGGTGCGGCTCCAGCAGCATCTGCCATGCACTGGACGAAGGGGAGGGGAGAGGTCAGGGGCAGGTAGCAGGACGAAGGGTGGAAAAGAACAAATGGCGGGGCCAAGGGTGCTCCTTAAGGCGCCTAAAACAGCCAGTGGCAGCACCGTTGTGGCGCAACGGCACAGCCTGGTGAGCTGGTTCAGGAAGGGGTCCAGCTCCAGCAGCATCCGCCCTGCAGGCAGGGCTGGGGTGGAGTGGGGGCAAAGGGACGGGCCGAGGGGGAAAGGGCGCACTGGGAGGTGCAGGGAGTAAAAAGAGGAAAAATGCAGGGAGGGGGGAGTGGGGGGGTGCTCAGTGAGACTGAAATGTTGAGATTGGATGAGAGGCCGGGCCGCACGGGGTAAGAGAGGGGTGAGAAGAGGGAGCAGGTGAGAAAGGCATTGGTGAGAGGAAGGTGTGTATGGGCTCAATTGACGATACCAAGGAGGGGGGAGAAGAGGACGAGAAGGAGGAGAGGGGGCGGAGGAAGGGAGAGGGGGGTGAGAGTGAGAGGGGACGAAAGATGGGAGAGGGGGAGGATGTGGAAGCTGCGGATGCAGCAGGAGCTGCACTGGAAGATGGGAGAAGAGAACGATGATGCAGGGGAGGAGATGCCGAATGGAAGGTGGGGACCGAGGAAAAGGGAAGGGGGGTTGGGAGGTGGGAAGAGGGGGAGGGGGGGGGGGGGGGGGAGGGGGAGAAAGGGGAGAGCAGGTGAGGGAAGGAGGGGTGGAGGCTTTGATAAGAGGGTGTATAAAGGACAAATCAAGTCCGTTGGCTGTTGATTGAGTAATAAAGTACATTCACTTGATAGAAAACGAGGTTGAACAAAACGTAAAAGCGTAGCGCCTACAAAACTGCTCCTGCTGCCCCTTCTCTGCCGCACCAAGCCCATCAGAACCTATCCGCGTTACTCCTGCCGCTTCCCCTCTACTGCTACTCCTAGCAACGCCTGCTCCTCCGCCTTCTGCTGCTGCTTCGTCACTGGCAGCACAGCAGCCGCAGCAGCAGCGGCGGCCTTTTCCCGCTCGACAGCCCAGCTGTACGCGAGCATGCCGAGCACGGCGACGGCCATGCCCATGAGGTTCTTTGCGGTGAGTGGCGAGTGGAAGAGCGCGGAGCCCAGCACGAGCACGAACAGCGTCTTCATGTGCCCCAGCACCTGGAACGACACCGCTGAGAACTTTCCGATGCAAAGGTACATGGACAGGTTGACGAAGAGCGCGAGCACGCAGGACAGCAGGATGAACGCCACGGACACGGGGGTCGGGCGGAAGGCCAGCAGGCTGCGGCGCGTGAGGAGGTAATCCACTGTGGGGCCGGAGATGACGAGCAGCACGGCCTGGTACGGCGCGGTCTTGCTGAGCAGGTCGAACGATCCCACGCTGTACTGCTTCTGTAGCGACCCGATGAAGATCTGCTGGAAGGTGGTGGAGAGCACCGCCACGATCGCGGCGAGCAGCCCGGCGGTGTTCACGGTGACGTCAGTGACCGTGCAGATGCCCACGCCGACCATCACGCCCACCACGGCGGCTTTCACGGCGGGCGAGAACGTCTTGCGGTGCAGCAGCGCCTCGAAGAGGCAGCAGGCGGGGATGATGGAGAGCTTGGTGATCTGGTAGAAACCCACGGAGTTCACCATGAGGGACACGTTCATGCTCACGACGGCCAGGCTCGCCACGAACGCGAACCACATCAGCGTGCGCGCCGGCACGTGCTTGCTCGGCGCGAGCGCGCCGGCGGCGGTCGCGGCGTTGCCGACGGCGGCGGTGGTGATGAAGTGGAGCGCGGTGAGGGACGTGGCGAAGGCGAAGCCGTAGGAGGTCATGAGGGCCTTGTTGACGAGAATGATTCCCACCGACGACACCACGTTCATGCCCCACGCCCCCGCCCATGACAGCGCCGCCGGGTCGTTCAGCATCGCGGCGAGGGGGGAGGAGACGGACACGGAGTGCGCGAGCGGGACGGGAGAGGGCTCGCGGGCGTGTTGCGTCTGTTGCTGATTACGGCTGCGCCCTAAGCGTCGGACCGACTACGGGTGTGAACCAACTGGGCTACTGAACAGCGGCTAACGACCGGCTTGGAGTGTTCATGGAGCGGACTAGACGAGAAAAGGTTGTCGCGTGGTAAGCGGTGGTTGACCGCAACAGCACTGCACGACCGATTGAGAGAGCACGAGGACGAGGACGGTAGCGAAATCGCACCCTCTACCCTAGCGCCGTAACGTCGCTATTCCCCCCCTGTGCTGGTCGAACTGTTCTTGCCGCTTCGCGTCGCAAGAACAGACCCCGAGCCTGCAAGGTCAACAGGCAGGGGGGACACACACGGGGAGGAGCGGATCTTTCTTTAAACTGGAAAATCGAAAGGGTTCGCAGTGGAATGACGGCTTTGTGTCCATTCAAACTGCTCGCGACGATCCGGCACGAACTTCATTCTCAGGCATATGGACGCATGTGCTGAAGCCAGATGGTGAATTAGGTCGAAAGGGCCACCCTGACGATAGCACGATTCGAGTCTTACAGTTTCCGCGACAAGCGAAGGCCGTAATGGTATAAAGACCAACATATGCCGACTGTTCAGATCGACTGGGATGGTTACTAGACTCCGAGACGCCGAATTCATGAATCCAGCAATATTTTTTTTTCATTCGACATCTTTCGATATCGGAATCCGCATATGGAAGTGCCAGGTCGCACTTCGATACCTAAATTCAATAACCCATCCTGAAATTTCGCACCTGATTGCACGTCATCCCTCAGTGCTGTTACAGTAACGAAGAGCGAACACACTATCAGCAATAAGCTGGGTGAGGGTAAATAGCAGCGGGAGCTTACCTTGTGAACTGTGGGGATCGAAAGCTAGCTGGTTGATCGGCGGCCACAGCTGGTTGGCAGGCTTTGAAATAGCAGACTTGAAGCACCACGGATTAGTAGAGTAGTGGTGGTGATCTATGAAAGTGATAGGTGCTGCAATGCCAAGCGAAGCAAGTGTGTATCTTGGGATTCTGTTCTGAGTCTGACACGCGTGTGCGGAGCGGAGGCACCGAGGCACAGAGGCACGCGGTGACGGTGGGCGGAGGGAAGCAGGCGCGCACTTCAAGCGCGGCGGGGATGGCTGGGCAGTGGGCAGATGAAGAGGGTGCGGTGCCTGAAAGGAGGAGTGCGGCGCGGATCAAGGGAATAGCGGGAGCCCCATTTGAGAATTTGGGGAAAATGGGTAACGTTCAGGAGCATTTTTGTGGGTTACTGCTAACGAAGTTGTTATGAGTTGTATGAAAGAAGAGTGCGCAGAATGCAATATCGCGGAAGTGATTACAACTACTGAGCAAACATCGGGGCCTAGGCATAATATAGCAAGGCTAGCTAAGCCCGAGGTCGCGAAGTCGTGCGAGGGTTGGGTGTAGGTTTGGGTTTGGAAAACCCGAAGGCGACGCGGAGGACGTTCGGGAGGCGAGGTCGTCGGACCGAGCCTGAACTCTGAAAAGTTGGAAATGTACGCGTAAGCGGTGCCTCAGTAAGGAATTAGCAAAATTCCTTATACTACCCCCCCCTTCAAGAAAGGTGGTCAATATCAGGCACGTGTCGGCGAGAAAGATACTGCCGGAGTACCGAGTGCCCTTGTAGTGAGTCAGCCGGGACCCACGTGTCGTCGTCACTTGTGCGATCCACCCATCGCAGTAGAAAATCGACGTGGCGGCCGGCTGGGGTCGCACGAATGCGATGATTCAATATCTTCCAGGGTTGGAGCGTGGGATCTGCTACCGGTCGGACACTTGGCGCCTGGTGGGGTCGAGCGACGTCGGAGGACTGGGGTGCCACGTAGTGGCGAAGTAAACTGACGTGGAAGGCGTCGTGGATATGCCAGTCGTACGGGAGGAGAAGTTTCGCAGTGACCGGTGTCAGCATTCGAATGATGCGGAAAGGTCCCACGTATCGAGGACGCAGTTTTGCGGGTTGGGGCAGTCTGAGGTTTTTGGTGTCCAGGAGAACCATCTGCCCCTCGCGGAAGGGTAAATTTCGTCGGTGTTGGTCAGCGTAGCGGCTGGCGGTCGAATTCGCTTTTCGGATAAAGTCAGCTGCTTTGGCACGCGCGTCCTGGAGTTCCGAAATAAACTGTTGTGATCTGGGTACCGGGTTGTCGGGAGTTGTCGATGAGGGTACCACCGGGTCTATCCCGTAATTCAGGTAGAAGGGTGATTGCTTGGTGATTGCTTGGTCGTTGCAGATGGGGCGTTATTGTACGCAAACTCGAGCATGGGAAGGTAATCTTCCCACTTGGTGATGTCCGGGCAGTTCGTGCGAATCAGCTGCTCCATCGTTTGGTTTGTCCTCTCCGTCTGTCCGTCGGTTTGCGGGTGGTAGGACGACGAAAATTGCAGGCGGGTGCCGTACTGTGCCCATGTCTCCTGCCAGAATTTCGACGTGAATTTCGGATCTCGATCGCTGATGATCGCCGAAGGTAGCCCGTGGAGGCGTACGACGGTCCAGATGAAGAGTCGCGCTGTTTCTTCGGCTGTGATCGTTGTACGGCAGGGCGCGAAATGCGCCATTTTCGTTAAGCGATCAACGACGACGAGCACGGAGTCATTGCCACTTGC